CTACACCGTTCAACCCAGGGGCAGGGGAGTGAAACTACTGAATGTGAGTCTTTATAGAACAAGCTTCACTTTGCTTCCCACACTTGCATTACATTCCACACGTGTCCACCAGGATAGGCTGGGTATTATCATGTAGGGATTTTGATTTTATTATTTTTGCGTCAGTTTAGGCCGATTGCGCAAGCAGACCTTTTCAGATGTCAAATATTTTAAGTTCTGGTGAAAGAATGAAGATTTCTGAAAGTTTCTTCAAAAGTTTCTCCGGATTTAAAAAACTTTTTTCGTTCAAAAATTATGAATGGTCAGTGGTGTTTTGCATATGGGTGAATTACTAAGGTTTTGACTTAAGAAAGCTCTTCATTTTTCCAAGAAAACTTAAAAAATTCGCTATACTTTTACTGAAAAAAATCTAAATTTGGATTTTTTCTTTGGAGCTAATTATTCAAATCCTCGACCTAATGAATATATCACCATGCTAGCAAACAACAAATTCTGAACTCACTTCATATTCCAGCGGTTGTATTTTGTAGCGATGATTCGAAAAATCCTCATAAACAAATGGAAATAATTCGGCGCCTCTGTACTGCTCCAGACGTGGGTCGAGTTTGAACTGCGGTGCAACGACGATCCCTGTTTCACGAACAAAATCTGCCAGTTCTCTGTGATTTGCTGTGGCTGAGCTGGGCTCCCAGTCAACCGACAACTCACACATCAAGCAATCACGTGGATGACGGAAACGCCACTTTTGTAGGAAATTATGATTTAAAATAAACCGTATGAAGCGCTCGTATTCTCTTCTGTTGCCTATATCATCTTTATATAACTGGCATGGGCATAACCACCCATTATTCATTAGCTCGACACAGTATCCTGCAACGCTTTCCATACTGTCATATGTTCAGACTGCGCGGTAAACTGGCTTATAGGATTAGATGTTTACGTATTTAGTAAAATATGACGTAACTTTTTAGGGATGAATCCAAACTAGTTGCATGTTTTTCCATCCAAAAATGTAATTTTGTGTAGAGAATTGTGTTGACTTAGCACATGACTGATTCTCAGAATTTTAACTCAAGTCCTTATAAAACATGATTTCAGGATAAATTCTTGCAAAACAAAGTTGTATGAAGCAGATGTATTCTAAAATGGAAGCTGATCGATGCAGTAAAAGCTTACTGCGATCGGTTTCTTCAGCTCGTGGAGCTCCGGTAGCGAAAGTAAAACAAATGGAATCATCGAAATCGTAGTATTTTCCAGTGGGTATTCGCGCACCACACGTTCGAATTAGCTTTGTCACACCAAAGGCTTTCAGCACTCGTTCTAGCCCGTGTCTGTTAAATCGAAAACCAATTGGATAATCGTTCGATGGCGCAAAATCCCTGCAAACAATTATGGTTATCAGTGGCTATCACATAAAATTAAAAAAATTCACATTTCTCTGAGTATTCCGTAATCTGCTCATGTATTGTCCAGAAGGTATGTGTTTTACTCGTACTGCCTACCATTTATTATGAATTATGGCACGAAAATCTTCGTAACAAAACTGAAGCCCTCAAGCGACTTTACAGAAAGTTTTCGTGTTCTTGGATAAAAAGCAAATTTTGATCATCTTTTTAGCCCCTGGAATTATTTTTTATTAAAATTATGTGTTTGCGCCTTAATGCGCTGAAGCACCTGGCTTTCTGGCGTCAGCAAGTTGCACATATTCGTACATAACATAGCTTCCATTTCGTTCAAAAATACCAACAAAACACACCTGTCAAGAAATGGATCGGGATACCCATATAGTACATCAGTAATCAACGCTCGTTCAGACAGTGACAGAGACTTGGTTGTTAGCTTCGGTAACATACTGATCCCGTGTTGATTTGGCATGTATGGAGAAACACCGCTGTGGACGCACAGAAATCCTGAAACTCAAGAATAATCCCATTGACAAGTATAAAAAAAATATCGAGTCCTTAATCCATTCGTTGGGCCAGGGGAGGGGAGTGATAGAAAGGGCGGGGAAGGGAGGAGGGGGGGGAGCAGAGTGCATTGTATTTTGCATTATAACTGAAACTTTTCATTAATTGGCCAGTCACTTTTATGTGTTTTTTAAATGTTCGACTAATTTGCACGTGTGTGGCTAATTTTTTTGTCTAATAAGAAGTTTTTTGCCTAATGTGAATTGTTCACTGACTGTGATTTGGCAGTGACATAGCACTATAGCTCCGAGCAGGAATAGTGCAATTATTTTTTGATCAAATTAAACTGGAGTCACATTTAATCCGCAGAGATCCCGGAATATGCCGTTGCCTCCCAGCTAATTGAGAAACTTGTGTGAATGAAAAATATGCAGGAAAAAATTTTGCATTTTCCTGCTCGCTTAGAATTTATAGGTTACTTTTATATCTCTGTCAAAGCTACGCATTTGACTGCTAATTTTAAAGTTAAAGGGATAGCTTACTATCGGCTGTTATGGCTAACGGCATCTCATAGAATAGCATCATAAATGCTGCAAATATTTCGTCATCTCCACACTGAAATGTGAATTTTCAATGTACCATTTTTAGCGCACAGATTTTTTAAATGCTGCTCGGTCTCCTCCTCTGGGAGACAATGGGTTAATTCACTGTAGCGGGAACGAGGATGAGCAAAATGAAGGAGGATTTTTCAACCACTTTCCTTTGGATACGAAATGCCTCAGTAAGCTCCATTTGATATATATAGCATCTGAATTTATTATAACATATGAGCGAAAGGCTGCTCATATACAGCACAAATTTCTGGAAGAACTTGTAATCTAACACGAGATCACTTATGTAGAATACTAATCA